TTAATTTCTCCGAGCTGGAAATTCATCCCAAGAAAGGTTTAAATGTCAGGATCAGAGGGTGGATTGGCAGGATCTGTTTTTATTTCTATAAATTAGCTCAAAGCACGGTCTGAGTCGTCCTGTTGTTGCCAGAGCTGTCAGTTATCACCCCGTGGTTTTATTGTTCCTGTTTTCTTTGCTTCTCCCTTCAACCTCTACTTGTTATCCCAGAGAAAGAGCATATAAACTTCTGGATGGCAGTTCCCCACTCCCTTTCGTTTTGGATGTGTCTTTTTTTTCCCCTTTCAGCTTAGAAGTCAAGCTGGAACTGCCTTGGTTTCAGTAGATTAATCAGCACTTCACACTCATACCCATAACGTTGCAGGGTCAGCCACGTTTTCAAACCTCCCAACTCCTCCTTGGGATGGAAGTCCAGGCTTAGGCAAGTTCCACACTGTGCTTTTTGTTCCTTTCTCCCAAAACACTGATATTCAGTCATCTTATTTTCCTGCTGATCTCTGCATGCAGATAAACCCATCTCCACCAGCCCTGGCTCTGAACCACTTTTGATATTTAAATCGAGACGTGTAATCAAAGCTGGGTACGCAGGGGTTTAGATGCACTACATAATTAATATATTCCTATCTGAAATGCAATTACTGCTGTTGCATCATATGTTTAAGCCAGCAGCTGGCTATTTAAGGTGAGGAGAACGGTTTTGTTGGGATATTATCATGAACAGCACTTCACCAGGACAGGGTTTGGCCGGTGACAGACAGTCCCTGCCCGCAGCAGCAGGTTCACAGAGTTTCCATGTTAAATTAAACATATCCTTAAAGAACTCCTCAAACACCTCCCCGTGCCTCTCTGGTGGGGTTTTTCCTCATCCAAGTCAGTCAGCTCAGTTTTTAATCGTGTATTTTCATCATCTGGAAGTAACCAACAATCAACATTTTAATTAAGATAAAGAGAACGGACTGAGTTTTAGGACTTGCTAACCATTAACAAAGAGACAAAGGGAAACTTCAGTGTTTATAATACACTGATTGTAATGCAAAGAATCTGTCAAGGCTTAAACTACAAAAGGAAACCATTAAATACTACTCTTTAATAAAAAAAAAAACTTCTAGCTATGAAACAATATCCTCAGGCCCAAGAGAATAAAAATCTGTTTCTTCCAGTGGCTTGATCCAAAAAAAAAAAAAAAAAAAAAAGCAATGAAACCTTCTAATTTCAAAACATGGCATTCTTCAGTTAAAAAAGGGGGGGAAAGGACTTGTTTTGGTTTTGGGAGGTGGAAGGAGGCAGCACAAAGCACTGGTGTGCGAGTGATAAACACGACTGGCCCAGCAGATCCTTCGCTATTTCCTCCAGAAATTCCAGATCCGTTTCTTCTGCCAGGAACTCGGCAGATCAAAGTGATTTTGGCCAGGTTTGATTTATTCTTAGCAGAGCTCAGAGTGCAATGGAGAGCCCACAATAACAGGATAAAATAACTGGTTTAAATCCAGGCCCTGCTCTGAAGGGCTCCACGGACTGAGTGGAGATCGTATCAATTCTGGAAAAATTAGCACTGAGGGGAGGGGAGGGGGGGAATGAAGCAGCATTTGATTCCCTGTTAGTTATTTCAGGATTATTAACAGCTCAAAGCTGCAGGTCTGCAGACAATTCACCCCTGTTCACTTCCTCTCCACTGCCAACTACAACATGACTCAGTCATCGCTCCTCCGCCACGCGTGCTTTGATCAAGGTATTTGTAGCACCAAAGAGTATTTAAGGAATACTTCAGGAAGGCTGTAGATTTTTTAAAGATGTTTCTGACTCGTGCCAAATTACAGTGAACAAAAAGCACGCTGCCACAACTTTCTGATGAGCAGGGAATTTGCATTTCTGACAGCAGCGGGTCGGCCGTGGGAACGACTGCATTGTTAAAAACTGCACTGGTTTCATTGCAGAACGGAGGGAAAAGCAGCAGATTGACATAAAGGAGACAACTCTTGATGTAAACAACCTGAACATTTTCTCACAGAAGAAAAAAAAAAAAAAAAGGCAAAAAAACAATCAGAGAAACTTATGTTTTTTTAATGCACCAAAGCATTAACTGCTTTCATTTCATTGACTCGCCCATGTAATTTAAATCCCAGAGCTGTGAGATTGTTCTGGAACAACAAAATATCCTGCAGTAAGCAAACCCTGAACCACATGTTAATGATCCCAGTTCTGCTGCTCTACCAAACACCATTTCCCTCATTCTTCCATTTGCTCAACAGTCAATGTCAGGGAAGCATTAAAGGCACATTCCTGGGCCATCTCCCAGGCTTTATCCACACCTTGCAGCATCCCAGTTACATTTTGCTGTTTCTTATTTCTGAAACCACTATTTTTCAACTAACTGTCACTGTAAGCTGGATGGCACGGGCTTAAGTTAGGGAAAGAAGTGCTTCCCAAGGCAAAAAACAAAGTTAGAAAAGCTGCTCTAAAGCTGATCAGGACCTTGCACAGTCCAGATTTACAGGAGATCACCTGAACCCAACCACTCCTTCAGCTGCCCCGTGGAGGAGGGAGAGCAAATCCCACAACTGACATCAAATACTGAGTCCCAGCAACGAGAGAAGGAACTGATAAACCAACCAAAAACACGTAAGGCAAGAAAGCAACCAAAGATTTAAGCGTTGCTTCACCACAGTTTTGTTCCTAATCAAAGTCCTTAAGAATAATCTGGCCTTGAATCCTGAAAGAGGATAGTATTAATCCAGAGAAAATGAATTAGCACTAAAGAGAGATTAATAAAATGTTCTGGGACACAGACAGCACAAACCCCAATCAGTAGGGAAGAAATAATCCAGTAACTTCCTGGTTGCCTTTTTTTTTTTTTTTTTTTAAATACAGACAACTATCTCATACTCTTCTGGCAGGTTATGGCAATTCCACTTTTAAAGTGTATCAATAATTCAAAACTGTGAAGTGAAGCAAACAAAGAAAAGGCATTTATGGCATATTACACTTTTCATGCGACCTGCCACCCCAACGTTTTCCGTAAGGAGAAGAGAAAGCAGCTGTGCTTCCAAGAGTCAACATTCACACACATTTCAGTAGCTGAGGGTAAAAATAAACCAGCAACTTTCCAGCACAGTTAAGGTGGATTGATCGAATCATTTCACAGCTCCTCACATGGCCAACCTCAAGGCATCATTTGTTTTTTTTTTACTCAAAGAGACAGATCCAGAAAGCTGTTTGTGCTCCTCCAGCTGATCTGAGTGCTTGGGAACCACGTCTGCTGCTCCTCCTGCCCTGTCCTAAAACAACTACTAACACACCTCAGAGGGAAAAGCCAATCTCTGTAACACAGGATGGCAACAGAGACAGATTAAAGAGAAATTAGCAGTCAGTGAAGCTCCCTCACGAGGATTTTAGGGCCTTTGGTGAAGTGGAATCGTTCCTCAGGAAAGGGAAAGAGCTACTCCTCTAATATAATTTTTAATAGAGCTGATTCATCTTAATGTCAAGAGAAACTTGTGATGGAAGGATAAACTAATGCATCAAAACACACCACTCCACCTGCCAGAACTGCAAAGAAAAACAATTACAGCCTTCTCCAAGACACAAGGTTGAAACACTGAAATACAACTGCTCTGAAATTGTTTACAACATCTGCTGCTGTAGTTGTGTGACTTCATCAGGTTATGAGTTATCTGGAACACTCGAGAGGAATAAACTGCCAAACTTCACAGAACCAGTTTCTAGTTCTGGAATTAAAAAAAAAAAAAAAAATCACATCTAATTATTATTATCTAAGATATTATTATGAAAAGCAAGTTAAACCTCAGTTTAGTTCAAGAATGGAGCTGAATGGTACTCCTGTCTCATCCCCAAAATGATCCTCAGGACAGCACACAAGTGCTGCGTCATTTTTAACTGACTGCTCTTTTTATTTTTAAATTTTTTACATCCTTTGGTTCTAAAACACCACCCTCAACTGCTGGCACCTGAGCTGCACCCAGAACCACAGGAAGGACAGGCTCAGACTCAAACAGTCAGCCACAAAACTTTTATTTTCTGACAAGCAGCTCAATAATGTGTTTAATTAGCAGGCGACATTTCAAAGCTGTTGACTTGAACTCCTCTGCTTCACTTGACATATTTAGCTGAAGGCAAAACAAGACTGTTTTCCTGTTGGTATCTCACACTAGTAGAGGAATCAAGTGTCCTTTCCACTGTTCATCTTCCCTTTCCCCCAACAGTAGAATCAAGAATCACACACACACACTTACTTTTGCTTTTATCCCTGTCAAGAGCTTTTTTGTCATTTTTATGAGTTTATGCATTACATGTCAGTAAGAAAAAAAAAAACTAACAGAGAAATTAAAGAACTCTGAGCAAGCAAAAATAAATAGGAAACAGGGACACTGTTTCCAGGTCAAAAATTATTCAAAACTGCCAGCAAACCTCAGGCCAAGTCCTTTGCCTGTTGAAAACATGAGTAAAGAGAAACCACTCCAGAAAAAAGGTAAAGGTACTGAAACACACTGCAAAACACTTCCCATAGTTCTGCAAACAGCTTCAGCTCATGGTACTAAAGCCCAAGGCAGACAAGAGAAGCTTCAGTTTTTGTTATTAATTATCCTGACCAATTAATGCAACTCAGCAGCAACTCATGGCCCAGAATGGCAACTCTGCCCCTGGAATTCCAATGGGACACAAAAGCACCTGCTGATGTGCAGGAGTGGGACAAGTGGGGGCTTAACCTGGAAACTACAAATCCAACAGCTCCTCAGAGAAACAAATGGGGAGGGAAGAGAGAACAGGTGAAAAGGAACTTCTCACACAGGCCCCTGACTTGGCAGGTTCAAAGAACAAAGCGCTCAAAGTGTTCTTGAATGTTAATTTGCGGTTTTCCCAATCCAGCTGGTCACTCACTGGAGGGAAAGGTTTACTCAGAAGGAGCTACCACAGGCTAAGAAATATCAGCACCTCAACGGGTGACTGGGGCAGGGAAAGGGAGATGTGAAAATGTTCCTTACCAGTTTGAAGTCTTGAATGCTGCAGATGAAATAGGGGGTGTTCGGCCGGCGGCTTTCGATGTAAACGCAATCTTGAAAGAAACAAGATGTTAAAAAAAATAATTGGGAATTAACTTCTGCACCTCCAAGAAAGAGCATAAAAAACAGGATAAAACTGAAACACAGAGTAAGGCTCGAAAGAACCACCGTTTCATTTGCATAACATGTTAATTTATTCCGAGCCTGCTCTAAGAATAGAAACTATTTATGGTGATAAATAAGGGAATTAACCGCACAAAAATTAACTTTGATTTGAATTAGACATTTTGCTGAGGGGGGGGAAAAAAAAAAAACAAAACCAAAACACAAAAAGAAAGTAATTTAAAGCCCACCCTGGATTGAGTTAATAACAATGACCAGGTCACAGTCCGTGAACCAGATCAAAATAAGACAGGGAACTAATCAGATCTGGTGTGGTCAGTTTGCCATTAAAAACCCGGCACTAACATATTTTTCCTCTTCTAATTGTGAAGAAAACCAAGGCAACCAATCCCAGCTGAAACTCGGCAAAGTAAATTAGATTTACCTCGGGGAAGGCCTGGGCTTTCTCCACTTACATTTGACATGACAGAAACACAGTAATTATTTTTGTTTGCTTTTGACAACTGGACCCTCCGAGGTTGCTGTAACATAAGGGCTGTTGTATTAAAAACAGGCTCGGCAATAACTACAACAAAAGCAGTGCCTTTGGAATAGAATTACGGCAGGGATGGGAACCAAGTGCCTGATTAATGATAATGACCTTAGAAATCAGAAAACTCGCACAAAGCCCGCTGAACAACAAAGATGCTGCTCCCAAAGCCAAGCAAGTATCTAAGGACAGTCATTGTGTCCCTTCTGATATACATTTAAATAAATGATATTCAAACCACAGAAGATACAAAAAAAGCACCATTATCCTGTGAATGGGTTTCCATGATTTTTTTTTTTTTTTACATTTCTGCAGAAAAACCTCCAAGTCTCAGAGTGGAAGCCAAACAAATATCAAGGGACAGTCATTGTGTCCCTTCTGATATACATTTAAATAAATGATATTCAAACCACAGAAGACACAAAAAGCACCATTATCCCATGAATGGGTTTCCATGATTTTTTTTTTTTTAATATTTCTACAGAAAAACTCCAAAATCTCAGAGTTTTATAACACCCTGCTGCAGTTTGATTCAATGCAGCTCACTGGGGAGCTGTGGCAATTTAACCACATCAAAGTGCTCCTGCAGCCCTGTGTTATCCCTCGGACTTCCTTGGCTAATCATTCCATTTAGACAAATCTCCACTCCCTCAAACTGCTCAGCATCCCATCCATTTCCATCCTATCCCACCTCTGGTTTAAGTTTTGGGGAGTCCCTTCATGAAAAGCTGATACAGAAAACGCCACAACTTCCAAGATTTAGATTTATTTTTTTTCCCCCCCTCCCCTTAATCTCTCAGTTTTGCAAGGCTCATTTCCAGAGTGTGTTATCACACAGCAGGCAGAACAAACAGCTGAACATCCCTGTGAAACGACTGGCACAAAAAAAAAAAAAATCAGGGAATGTGGCATCTCCCATGGATAAAGCCTCTCTCTGCACTGCATTTAAGGGAGGCTCTGCTGGCTGCCTGCCAAGCCCCAAAACAACGATGACACCCAGTTAAGACATCTCCGAAGCAACAGAGGCCACACAGATAAGGAAACGAGTTTATCCAGGTGCAAAGCTGTGTCCTGAATGATAGCACCTGGAAAAATGTCCCCCCCTAAGAAAGGAGAACACTGATGGATGCGTTCACGTTATCCACCAAAACTCA